ATATATTCAATTTATATTATAATTGATATTATATTAATATATATATATTATATATACAATAAACCTATAAGTTTTCTACAAAAAATATTAAGAAAGAATTGTGTTTGGAAACAATAAATATCAGTGTGGTTTGGGGCATTCATCAAGTTAAATATTTCCTTGTGTTCATCACTATTTTGCAGTGTAGCACTAGTCTATATCTGTGTGTGTGTGTGTGTGTGTGTGTTGTCCAGATAATATTTACATACTTTTACAAATATACCATTAACACAGCTTTATAGTTTTTGAGGATCAGGGCGATCTTTGTGTTCAAGAGGCAATTCATACATCTTGTCAACATTTGAATCAGAATTCTATAATTTCCAGAACTATAAGGGTTCTGCTCTAATTAATACACATTCCATTTTACTTTGATTTTCAGTTTGAATAATTCTTTCTTATAGTAAATAACTATAAAATCTCTATAAAATCTTTGGGAAGAGAACAAATAACTAATTAAAATTGTATACAGCCAGAAAACTTTCAAACATACAAATGTAAAATAAAAGTATATGTAGCATGCTCTTCAATTTTAAATGTGGTCCTACAATTAGGAAATGGCATATATAACTAAGATCAAGGAAAGTCTATTTAATCAGTAAAGATATTTACCAAGAATATGATAGTATTTTTATTCTTTCCCTAAACAAAGATAAATATACTTTAAGATATAAATGAATCATACTGTGTTTTATATTTTCTATACAAATATAGCAACATATTCTGGAAGATTTTTAGGAGCCTATTAAATCTCACTCAGAAAACAAGTGACATAATTATTTTAACAAGCATGCTTATTACAGAAGTTTATTAAAATGCATATGAATGTATTATACCTGAGAAGTCAATAATCTTATTAAGATACTTTGTGGAGCATAGGGACAGTAAAAGTTGCTCAGTGTGGCTCCATATTTGTGATACTTACCAATAGGAAAGTCAATTGTTCATTAAGGGTTGGCTATCATCTTAAATCTTTCATCAATGCTTAGACTTCCATAATATGCAAAATAATATCAAACTCCACAGGAATATAGAATATTTAAAGATGAACAAATATTCAAGACATATTTTATGCATATTGTTTTAATAAGCCTTACTATTGAGTGAAGCTAATACATACACATTTTGCAATTTATTTATGCAAAGACATTGTTTCATTTTCCCTGTGATATTTTATTATAGAATACTTACCACTTGTATCAAAAAGTTAAATGTTATATTCAAGGATTGCCTCTGTCTTCTGCTCCGTTTCCATTGTAAAATTTCTCATTAGGTCAAGTTGACTGTTTCTGTGGGTTTCTCCAGCATGGTCTTGTCACCTTTGATCATCCTTCTTCCCTCCCTAGAACTGGATTCCAGGAGTATGGATCAGTATTTAGGTGTGAGTGTTTGCTTCTGCTTTGATCAGCTACTGGATGAAGGCTCTAGGATGGCAACCAATCTCAATATAGGGGAACTACATCAAATTCAGTCTCTACACTACTGCCTAGATTCTTAGTTGGGGTCATCCCCTGTGGATCTCTGAACTTTTCTGTTTGCCAGACCTCTCTCTAAACCTATACTAGCTACCTCTATCAAGGTATCTCCTTACTTGCTCTCCTCTATTCCTACCCTTTCTCAGTCTTCCTGTTCCCTCTTGTTCTCCTCCTACCTCCTCTTATATTTTTCTATTTTTCCTACCTCCATCTTCTCTACCCCTGTGCTCCCAGTTTGCTCAGGGAGTCTAATCCCTTTCCCCTTCTTCAGGGAACCATGTGTTTTTTTTCTTTGGGTATTACTTGTTTCCTACTTTCTCTGGTGGTATTGATTATAGGGTGGTAGTACTTTGATCTATGTCAATTATCTATGTATGAATGAGTATATGCCATGCTTGTCTTTTTGTGATTGAGTTACCTCACTCAGGATTTTTTTCTTCTAGTTCCATCCATTTGCCTGCAAATTTCAACATTTCATTGTTTTATTTTTCCCACTGAGTAATACTCCATTATGTAAATGTACCACATTTTCTCCATTCATTCTTCAGTTGAGGGGCATCTAGGTTGCTTCTAGGTTCTGGCTACTACAAACTGTGCTGCTATGAACATAGTTGAACATATGTCTTTTTTGTATGGAAGTGCATTTTGGGGTATATGCCCAAGAGTAGAATTGTTGGATCTTGATGTAGACTTATTCCCATTTTTTTCTGAGAAATCACCATACTAATTTCCAAAGTGGTTGTATGAGCTTGAACTCTTACCAGCAATGGAGTAACTGGATTCTGACATATAGAAGATTGAAGATAGTTCCATATCCATCACCATGCACAAAACTTAATTCCAAAAGGAATAACTTAGAAGAGAAAGGGGGAGGTATCCTTAAATGAATTGGTACAGGAGACTGCTTCCTGAACATAACAACAGTAGTACAGACCCTGAGATCGACAAATAATAATTGGGACCTCCGGAAACTGAGAAGCTTCTGTAAGGCAAAGAGACAGTCAACAAGACAAAATGTCATCCCACAGAATGGAAAAAGATATTCACCAAACCCACATCTTACAATGAACTCAAGAAGCGAGCCACCAATACACTAAACAATCCAATTAAATTTGGGATACAGAACTAAATAGAAAAATCTCAATAGAGGATTCTAAAATGGCTGAAGTGCTTGAGCACTTGAGAAAGTGCTCACCATCCTTAACCATCAGGGAAATGCAACTCAAAACAACTCTGTGATACCATCTTGTACCCATTAGAATGGTTAAAATAAAACATACCAATGACAGTCTATCCTGTAGAGAATGGAAAGACATGTTTATATGTGATAAATGAAGTACATGTGATCATGTGGCTTAAACCCTGCTCACTTTACTGTGTGGAGTTGGATAATTTTGTCAAATTTAGCCCTGTGGTAATATATTTATGATTTAGTTAAGCTTTCCTGAGGATTCAGAAAGCAAATCAGCCACAAGCAATAGATGCCAGGCATACACCCTTATTCCCAGTAGCCACAAGCTAAGAGATGGTGGTACACACATTTAATACCAGGACTAAAGATTAAGAGATAGAGAGATCTCTGTGTGTCCAAGACCAGCCAGCTATACACAAGATACAATCCTAAAGAGAAAGAGCTCACACAAAGATGATCTCATCACCTGGGATCACACACATTTAATTCCATCTTTAGAGAGCTATATAAGACAGGAGCAAGGTCTCAGTATCAGGCATTCATCCTTCAGTCACATTGAGTATAGGAAGACTCTCCATCTCAGGATTCCACAGCCACACTGAGAAGAGGCAGCAAGATAAGCCCATTCATTCCAAGGTAGTGGTAAAATTACTCGCCTTCTGCTATGCTTTTCTGTTCTTCCACCTTGAAGTTTGAACAGCAATATCAGTCTCTGTGTCCATTTATTTTTCATTTTACATTGCCAATGTAAAAGCACCATGTAAACACACTGTGGTTTGGTTATATAATCTGTTGGGAATCCTATGAGTCTATGTTGCCTACATAAAAGGAGTAGACAATCTAAATTATTTTGTAGTTGATTATTGCTCTCAGAGGCAATTTACCTTCCTCTTTTCTTATGTCACTTGATTATCTGTTTTTGTTCCTTAAAAAGTCACAGTGGTTACTGATAAGTCACTTAATATCCTTTAATGTATTTTCATACTTATTCCACTCTTCTTTTGCACTTCCTCATACCCGCTTCTCTTGATTACTGCAAGGTCTACAAGCATATTCTATTGTAGTTTTGTCTTCCACCATCCACAGAATCAGCCATTTCTCCATGCAACGCTGATTTCCATCACTGGAAGTTGGCTTTAAAAGTTATAAAGAAATACTCTGTTTCTCAATACTGTTCACATGTATTAAAGTTCTTTGGGAGACACTCTGGAATTCTGTGTGTTAAACCTCAGGTGCACACAACCTAAAGCCTATTATTTTCTACCTATTCTTTGGAGTTCCATCTTAACTGTCATCACAGAACCTTCATCCAGTAACTGATGAAAACAGATTCAGAGATCCACAGCCAGGCACCAGGTCAAGTTAAGTTAGTCCAGTTGAAGAGATGTAGTAGGGATTATATGAACAACGGGGTCAACAGTATGAGAGGCAATCGACAGAAAGAGATGACCCAAATTTCTGGGAGCTCATGGAACCTAGACCACCAGTTTGGGAGTCTGCATAGAACCAAACTAAGCCCACTGCCTGTCAGAACTTACAAAGAGTATAGATGGATAAAATAATATATCCTATGATAACATCTAATTTAAACATCATTCTCTTAAAATTCAGCCATATAGAAGATGATAGAAGACAAATTCCAACCTGAAGGCAAAGGAAATTTTCTTACATCAGAAAAACCAAAAGCAAAGAAGCATACAAACACACAACAACAGCAGAAACAATAAAAATAATAGGAATCAACAATCAATGATCATTGATATCTCTCAATATAAATGGTGTCATTCCCTAATAAAAGATTCTGACTATTATGCCTGAGAGGATGGGGAGAAAGGGGAATCACTCCTCAACTGCTGGTAGGAGTGCCAACTGGTACAGCCAATTTGGAAATAAGTGTGGTGGTTCCTAAGGAAAATGGGAATCAGTATAACAAAAGATCCAGAAATTCGGCTCTTAGGCATATACACAAAAGATGGACATTCATACAAGGACATTGTTCAACCATGTCCATAGTGTCAGTCTTTATAATAGACAGAAACTGGAAGCCACCTAGATGATCCCTGAACTGAGGAATGGATGGAGAAAATATGGGACATTTACACAATGGAGTGCCAATCAGTGGAAAAAACAATGCAATCTTGAAATTCACAGGCAAATGGATGGAACTAGAAGAAACCATCCTGAATGAGGTAACCCAGTAGCAAAAAAATACAAAAATTGGTATGTACTCACTCATCTATAGATTTTTAGATCTAGAGCAAAGAAGTAGCTGCCTACAATCTACACTGCCAAATAAGCTAGGAAACAAGAAGGAAACAAAGAGAGACACATATGTTTCCCCAGAGAAGGAGAAAGGGACAAGATCTCCTAAACTAATGGGGATCATGGGGGGAGGGGAGAGGGAGTTAGAAGAAAGACAAGGGGAAAAGAGGAGGGGAGAGGAGGACCTGAGGGAACAGGAAGATCTAGTCAGGGGAGGAATAGAGGAGAGCAATAAAAGGAATACTATCATAGAGGAAGCCATTATAGATTTAATGAGAATTCTGGCACTAGCGAAAAGTACAGAGACCTACAAGGTTGACTCCAACTAACAATCTAAGCAATAGTTGAGAGGCTAACTTAAAAGGCCTTCTCTGATAATGAGATTGATGACTATCGTATATGCCATCCTAGAGCCTTCATCCAGTAACTGATAGAAGCAGGGCAGACAATCACACTTAAACACTGAGTTGAAATCTGTAATCCAGTTGCAAAATGTGAGGAGTGATGAGCAAAAGGGTCAAGACCAGGCTGGAGAAACCCACAGAAACAGCTGACCTGAACAAGGGTCTGCACATGGAACCCTGACTGATAGCTGGTAAACCAGAATAGGACTTTTCCAGATCCCCTGAAGGAGAAAGTCAGTTTGGGAGTCTGGACATCTATGTGGCCACTGGTTATGAATCAGTATTTATCCCTAGTACACATATGAAATTGAGAGCCCTCTCCACATAGAAGGATATTTTCTAAGCATACACTGTGGAGGGTGTAGGCCCTGCTCCAAATGATATGACAGACTTTGAAGATTCCACAGTGGAAGGCTTCAGCCTCCTGGGGAGTAGAAAGGGGTTGGGATAGGGCAGTCTGTGGGGGGCTGGGGAGGAGGGGAGAGAGAGGGAACTGAAATTGACATGTAAAAGAAACTTGATTCTAATTTAAATTTAAAAAGAGGGAAAAGGGAAAGGTGGTAAATTTACAGGCATTAAAGTAAGTCAGTATTAAAATAAACTCTCAGAAGGGAAGTTGGACAGAATTTTTAGAAGTTTTATGCAAAGGTACCATTGCTAAAAACTAGTAAATGGATACAAAGGCTTTAGGGATTATTTAACTTATTTCTTGGCAAATATTTAGACTGGATTTAGTTTTGGAATCCTAATTTTATCTTGTTTCAGTAACCATAAGTTAACAATAAAATAATTAAAGTAGTAAATTCTATATATAAAAATATCAATGTCTTCTCTATAATCAGATCTATAAATAAATAAATCGAGGCACTAGATTAATTTTTAGAAAACACATAAACTGGTTGATCATTGTCTGTCATCTAGACTACTTACTATGAGGAAGAGCATAGAATGGTTACTTTATATCAATCTGTATTTTTCTTTTACTTATATATAACTTTATTAAGATTCCCTGTCCCTCTATTCCTCTCTGTTCCTCCTATCACCTCTGGTTCCATTCCTTTCTGCCTCTCATTTCAAAGCAACAGACTTCTAAGACATTTAGTTTAGCAACTAAACATGACAAAATAAAATATAATTAGATGATAAATATTTCTTCCCAAATTTCACATGTGCAAGTGTGTTTATGAAAGGTAAAGATAAAAGCGGGCTCAGTGCATTTAGTTTATGTTTCATGTCTGAACATTAATGGGAAATTATTTTCTTCAACAGAGGAACTGTATCACTTGTTACACTCAGGAGTACTATGACTTTCCTGATGCCCTACAATCTTTGATTGTTTATTCGTACACGTTGACAGGTACTTTTTTGTGAAATGAACACTGGGGATTATAGTCAACATCTAATTTCAAACTTGGTAGTGTAATCTAAATAAAATTATCTGTTTACCTGAAGATATATATCATGTACAAGTTTATAAATTTACTTATTGTAATTGATTTTTAGAAAATATTAAAAAATAATCAAGATAGGCCATTTCACTTGTTTCTATATAATTATTATGTAACACCTGAGGAGAGGGACAGTTGTATTTCTGTATGAAAGACTCAAAACCATACTATCTTTATGTAGATAGTAAAAGATGAATTCCACAGATTCAAACAGCATTAGATGAACAGAAGCAAGAAACAAGTATATCTCTGTACAGGTGGCCACTAGTGGTTTTTCCTGTAAGGTATCTAGATACAGCTGTGCTGGTTCTACCTTAATGACTTAAAGTAAATCTAATTATATTTTGAAGACAAAATTGTAAATATGATCATCAATATAAGTATTCATATTCTATGTAAGATGAATAGTTCCCATATAACACTGGGAAAACATGACAATAGGCGTGGAAATCACTGATAAGATTCAGATCATAACACACTCATTACCAGTGTTTGTGAT